TGAAAATAATGCGGGCAATAAGTCTAAAAATAATCTAATTTTTTGATCTTAAATATATAAGAAAAATAAAATAAAAAGCCAAGTAAAAAAGCTATTTGTAAACGTAACAAAGCACGTAAAACAAGGTTTATTAAAATAAAAAGGTCGAATAATTAGAGGGTTTTGCAAGTTTTCTTATAACGATCGATATAGTAAGTATAAAATCTTTGTGTAACATTATTATGTGAAATCGATCTACGGGACGACTCTAGATATTTAGGTCAGATTTCGAAATTTTTTGCATTGAATCGCGTAATACTCCTAGCAATGCCCAGAAAATTGAGTCGTGGCAAACAACAACGCAAGTTCAAGCATGAAAAAGCTCAAAAAGAACTGGAAGAACTAGAAGAAAACTGCAAAGCTTTGGTAAGCCACAATTTTTCTGGTCTTTTAGAGTAATCACTTCGAATCATAACGTATTTTTTATCAGACAAATGACTCGAAATTCGAAAAATTCAGCGAATTGCCTCTATCCCTTTTGACCTTGAAAGGCTTACAGGAATCAAATTATGTTGAAATGACTGAAATTCAACGTAAAGTGCTCCCCCTCGTTTTACGTGGAGAAGATATTTTAGGAGCAGCCAAAACCGGCAGTGGAAAAACCTTAGCTTTTTTGATTCCAGTAAAGTGAATAATGCCAATGAATTCTAATTTTTATTTTTATAATATAATTTTTTTTTAATTCTCACTTCTGATAATTCATATTTCATAGTTAATTGAAACATTATATCGACGGCAATGGTCACAGTTGGATGGATTAGGTGCTCTTGTGATAGCTCCAACACGAGAATTGGTATTTCTTTGCCGATGTAATCCTTATTTAAGCAACAGGTCAATATTCGTTTATATATCCAATATATTATTTTTTTATAGGCAGTTCAAATTTTTGAGGTTCTTCGAAAAGTTGGTCGACACCACTTTTTATCAGCCGGGCTTATAATTGGAGGAAAGGATTTAAATATCGAACAAGAACGTATTAATAGAATGAACATCCTTATATGTACTCCTGGGCGTTTGTTACAACATATGGACCAAACTGCAGGTTTCATTTGTGATAATTTACAAGTCTTAGGTATTAATATTATCTTATTGTCACATATGATTCAAAAAATCATGACAATTCAGTGAATTAACCATTTTTTGTATTTTTATAGTTTTAGATGAAGCAGATCTAATTCTTGACATGGGTTTTGAGAAAACTGTTAATGCCATAATAGAAAATATTCCTAAACATCGCCAAACTCTTTTATTTTCAGCAACACTAACTAAATCTGTCAAAGATCTTGCTCGGTTGAGTCTTCAGGTATGTCTTAAATTCAAATGGTAGGTTGAATTTCTAACATATATATTATTTTTAATATATATATATATAAAAGAATCCAGAACACGTAGCCGTGCATGAAGATTCTGATCACAGTACACCACCAAGTTTATTGCAGCATTATTTGGTGTGTGAATTACCTGAAAAATTAGACATTCTATTTTCATTTATTAAGTCTCATCTTCAAGCAAAAGCTCTGATATTTTTGTCGAGCTGCAAGCAGGTATGCAACCAATCTCTGTTTGAAAGAATATACCTCGATTAATAAATAGTTAATTATATAACAAAACACCCAGGTCCGCTTTGTATTTGAAACTTTTTGCAAAATGCAACCAGGAGTCATATTACTTCATTTGCACGGAAAGCAAAAACAAACAAAGCGTGTAGAAATATTTAATAAGTTCTCTTCTTTAAAACATGCATATCTATTTGCCACGGATATAGCCGCAAGGGGTCTGGACTTTCCAGCCGTTGACTGGGTAATACAATTAGATGCCCCAGGAAATGCAGACATATACATTCATCGCGTAGGACGTACAGCAAGGTATGAGGCATCTGGGCTTGCATTGCTATTTTTGTTGCCAAGTGAAGAACAAGGGATGTTGAAAGCTTTAGCTCAAAAAAAAGTACCGATCGCAAAAACTAAAGTGAAATCAAGCAAAACAATGAGTATACAGAAACAACTGCAATCTTTTTGTTTTCAAAATCCTGAAATTAAGTATCTGGCACAAAAGGTTAGTGATAATTAAATATGATAAAAGTACTATTTCTTTTTTTTTTTTAAAAAAAAAAATTTATATAGATCATTCATCCCGTGTTAAAATTTTTTTCATATGTTGCTTATCAGGCTTTTATATCATATATGCGATCAATTTATCTTCAAAGTGATAAATCAATATTTAAGGTAGATGAATTACCTGCAGAAGAATTTTCCGCTTCTCTTGGGTTACCCGGTGTGCCAAAAATTAAATTTGTCAAAGTAACGTATTATTATTATTTAATATCATTTTACCCGCATAATTTCTTCTAATGATGTACTATTATATAGAAATCACAAGTAAAAAACGCTATTCGTGAAAAGCCTAAAGAAGTAACTGATTGTGAAGGCTCAGAAGATAGCCAGTCATCAAATTCTGATAATGTTTCAGATGATGAAAAAAAAAAGAATTCAAAACCAAAAACTAGAATAGAAAGAATTTTTAATCGTAAAAATATGTCCGTTTTTACTGATCACTACAAAAAACTTGTGGATCAAAGAAGTAACAATATTACGGATGAAGACGATGAATTCATTACTCTCAAACGTGTCAATCATGAACTATCTTTGGATCTAGAACAACAAGTAACGTATTGGAACAATATTATTTAGTTATTTGTCATATCATAGAGCTATCGACCAAAAGTTTGATAAGTTATTGCAAATGACGACCTATCATGACAGATTATTTGTTTCTTAAAATAGTTTTTTAATTTTTGGATTTATTAAATATTTTAAACTTTTTCGGTCAGATAAAATAAAAAAAAGAAATAGTTAAAGACATCTGTCATAATAGGCTATAATGATCTTAAATATGATTTTATTATGCTTATCCCAACTTTCTTTTTAATTATGGTTATTTTTTTCTTTGTTAGAATCGTGAAAAATTATCAAAACGTAAGCTTTTGAAAGCCAAATCAAAGAAATCTGCGATTAAGAATGCGCCTAAAGGAAATAAGCTAATATTCGATGATGATGGAAATGTAAATATAATTTGTTTATATTGTCAATACATTGGCGTTTTAATTTATTATTTATGATGTTTTGCCAAATTTCAGCCTCATCAAGTGTACGAATTTCAAGATGAAAAGGAATTCCATTTAGTTGATAGTGCGTTAGCACAAAAGCGAGCATTCCTTGAAAAAGAATTAGAGGTAATGAAAGAGAAGGATGAAGTGGATAGAATGACTGCCAGAGAGAAAAAACGTAAAAAATTAAAATAATAGCACCAACGTGCCGTGCCATACATGACACATTATTTAATATAAATAAATATATATTTGAATAGTATTGAACTGAAATTTGATCCTGAGTAGTGCTTGGATCCGGATTACAAAATTATAATATATCCGGATATTATCCGGATATATCCGAATTGTAATCCAGATCCAAGCACTAATTTTAGACAACTTACGAAAAATAAAACAGGATATCTATCCGGATATCCGGTTTGGTATCCGGATCCAAGCACTAATCCTGAGATACATCAGACCAATCTGCTATGTGTTAAATTAAAATCTGTGATTTAAAACAGTACCGTACGCCACTGACTATAGTGCTCGGGTACTTATATTTAGTGATGGTAATTGGAGATTGGAAAACTTTCGAAAGATGAATTGTAAGAATTGAAAGCGTCCAGTTTTAATAAAAAAAAGTATTGGAAACATGCACATGAATACAATATATATATATACTGTATATAAGGGAAATAAGGGTGTAGCCAACTAATATTATAACTATATATATATATATATATATATATATATATATATATAATAAAATATGATCTAGTAATCAGAATCAGATATATAATAATAAATTACCTAATTCTATATATAAAAAAAAATAAAAAATTGGGTAGGTAAAGGTAATGTGGCCAATTTTTTAATATCAAATAATTATCCACCAGTCCGTTTGGATGATTTTACTACCAAAACAACCGGCTCAGTGAGACGATTCTAACGAGCCCAAAACAATCATAGAATCTCAAGATCATTAATAAAAATTTACAGATTTTTTATTTAATTTTATTAAAGAGAATTATCATTTATCGCCAGTCTATGATTAGCCAATGAAATTGCGAGGATATGATACCTAATATCGATCGATCGCTCAATCGATCGCACCATCCTTATCATCCGTATCATCCGTGCCTTTCGTACCGTTCGTACCGTTCGTACATACGTGACTGTTTGTTTATTTGTTTGATACTTATTTCCCTACTATTTAGAATTTAGATTTACCTCTTTGCTACTTAAGATTTGCTACTTTATTAACTTGAACTTTTACTATTTAGAATTTAGTTTTACCTTTTCACTACTTAAGGTTCATTACTTTATTAACTTGAACTTTTATGCTTCCCTACTATTTAGAATTTAGGTTTACCTCTTCTTTATTAACTTGAACTTTTATGCTTCCCATTAGAATTCAGATTTATCTCTTTGCTACTTAAGGTTTATTACTTTATTAACTTGAACTTTTATGGTTTGTTACTTTATTAACTTGAACTTTTATACTTTTCTACTATCTGCTATTTAGAATTTAGATCTACCCCTTAGAAATACTTAAGGTTTGTTACTTTATTAACTTGAACTTTTATACTTTCCCTACTATTTAGAATTTAGTTTTATTCCTTTTTTATTAACTTGAATTTTTATGTCTTAATAAATGTGTTTTGGAATACAAAACTTTTGTTCAAGATCTTAGACTTTTAACTTTTACATTATGAATGATTGAGATTTATACTTCACTATTCAAGAGTACCAGATTGGCACTATGGTATTAACTTGGGGATTGAAACTTGTGTTTCAGTATTTTAAGAATGTTTATTTATTTTTTTATACTCTGTTTCTTAAGAGTACCAGATTGGTGATATAGTATTAAATAGTGTTTTAAATCGTCAACCGAAAGTTCAACCGGGGCTGATCCGGGTAGACTTCTGGGTATTCCCAGCCAATCGCTGATGTTTGTTTACATCGGGTAAAATAGAATGCATCAATCCTATTTTACCCGATGTAAACAAACATCAGTAATTGGCTGGGAATACCCAGAAGTCTACCCGGATCAGCCCCGGTTGAACTTTCGGTTGACGGTTCAAAATACTATGTAGAACCCAGGCGGACTATTTAAATTAGGTACCAAAAGTACACGTGTGGCTAGTTGTATCCTTGTGAAAATTGATGTAATATTGTATTTATCTAAATAAAGCCAAGTGCCAGGGGCCTAAGTGGTCACCTTAATATTAAAAAAAAAAAAAAAAAGCAAAACAATATTATATCACAAATATTATTAATAATAAATATCTACTCTGCAATCTAATACTAATTAAATACTATCTTATCTTGTTATATAATACTAACTTAATAATAATTTCTAAGACCTATATAACTATTTTAATATAACTCTTAACTTTTATACTAATTTTGCAATACTATCTAACTTAACCTCTAGCTAGACTAGTGATTTGGTAGAATCGTTTCAATGATTGTCTAAGCTAGACCCATATAATTATCTAATTATTATTCTAATTTTTGTACTAGTCTTGCACTACTATTTAATCTACTCTTGTCACTAAGCCCACTCTATATTTTAATTTTATTTAAAAATATATAACAATTGCTAAATTATTGTAGTATGGCTATAATGAATATAATATTCTAAATTAAACAACTTTCTTTTACTTGATTTAATAATCTAAATACAAATATAAAAATAAACAATCAATTTGGCAAATTGAATATTATTTACTATTAGGAACTTTAATATATTTAATGAGTTAACTAAGTTGAATTACTAAAATATATACATATAAATATATTAAACTACAGTTTGAATTTAATTTGAGAAAATAAATTTTCATTATTTGTATTTACTATATAGAACCTTGCTAGAAAAATTACCTTTCAAGATTTTCTGACTAGGCAAATTCAGACAAACTTAAATCAGAATATTAGATATAAATCAGCCTTTACTATATTGATTTTATAGTTTATTTAATAAACTATAGAAAAGGCTAATTTACATTTAATATTCTGGTTTAAGTTTGTTTAAATTTGCCCAATTGAAAAATCTCGAAAAGTAATTTTCTTAGTAAAGGTCCTATATTAACAGATTTAAAAAATATAAGTATTATTATCTGGTTTAGGGAGTTTTGAAATATTTAAAAACAATATATACAAATTAAACTCTCCCTGATGATTATCTAAACCAAAATTTAGAGAAAAGAAAAACAAGCATAGTAGCTAATACACACTATACAACAACACTTTAAGGTATAAGCAAAAAGAAAGAACACAGAAAAACACATTAGCACAGTAAGCTATGCAAGCAGTTAGCCAATACATAGTTCTTGAGTACAGAAAACAGTTATGGACTTTAAGCAAATTGATATCTCTCTGATATTTTGTAAAAATTTATAAATCTGGCCTAGACCCTAAAATGTAGATCACAACATGTAACAATAAACAAACATGTTAGCTAAGCAATTAGATAAACAAACAAGTATGGATATATGAACAGAAAACAAGTATAGCTATACAAGTAAACAAAACAATCATGTAAAAACCAAAGTTACATATGTGACAAACTTATTCCAAATAATGGTCTCTAAAATTAACTAGAAGCAGAAACTGAATATGTACAAAAATATTTTTTTAAAGTTGGCAGAAGAGTTCAATGCAATCAAAAATAATCACAAAAAGAAAGTACTTAGAAAAGATAGAGAAATAGCTTTTATAGCAGAGGCAGAACCACAGTTAATATGCATGTTTAGAATATGATTGAACTGTTTAACTAGCTTGAATAACTTAAAGTTAAAAGTGCAGGCAAAAACTAAGCAGTTAAGCCTGAAGATGTACTAAAAACCAAAGTAGTACTCAAAAAGCAAGAATGTGGCTATATTGACTATAAAATTATAGAGAAATTAAAGATTAATAAGAGTAAACAAATAAACAAAAACATAGTCACAACTACAAAACAAGAAAAAGAGGGGAAAGAAAAAGCCCCAGAAGCAGATAACAAACTCCTAGCACAAAATGAAAAAAAAGCCAGAGAAAGCAAGTAATAAGCAAAGCTTAAATGAAAATATACAAGTACAAGCTAAAGAAAGAAAATCGCTAAGCAGTACAGATTCAAATAAAACACTAGTTAAAGAAACAGAAAAGGAATTTACACAAGCCTGCTTTACATTCTGGTAACTGTAAAAGCAGCAAGAATAAGAAGATACTTACATTTTTATGGCTGAATACAGTTTAGAAGCTGGGAGATCTCTAAAAAAAAGAAAGCTGTATCTTTCTACATAACTTTTTGGAATGAAAGAAGAAAAGCTTTACTAGAAAAGGCTTGGGCCATGCACTTTGAAGAGAGAAAAATGTTAAGAATCTCAAGAAAGGTATTTATAAGAGAAATTCTAAAAAATAGAGCAAAGTATAAAGCAGTAGTGAAGAATATTCCTAAGATAGCTTTGGAAACACTTTTGTTAAAACAATTAAGATTAGTTAATGCACAAGCCGTATATATATCACACAATAGCAACCGTAATCAAAGAAGCACAGCACAGCCTTGGTGTACTTCGAATCAGAAAACAACATAAAACTGGCACTAAAGAAGCGGGTTTATTATTATATATAAATTAGAGTGGAATTGTTTCAAATATAAAGAGAAGAAAAAAAATTTAAAAGGCAGCTTGGCAGTAGAAGAACCAGAGCATAGTTTCAGAAAAAAAGAATTTAAAAAAAGGAATACTCGCAGAAGAGTAGAAGTAAAAAAAAGATTTCGAGATTTGAAGGAAGAAAAAAAAAATATTAACCCCACTGATCAACATACAATAGCTGAAAGTACTATCAAGAACAAATCAAAAGAGCGAAGCAGAATAGCAGAGAATGAAAAATTACATGATATCAGAAGCATGCTTGTAGATATTATAGGTAGACTTGATAAAATCGAAGCTCAACATGAAAAAGAAGGTAATCTGGAATGGAGTAGCCCTCTAGCCAACCACTTCTAAATTAGCTGTAGTTGTCCTCACAGAAAGAAGTAGTATAGCTACTGAATTAGACAATAAAAACTTAGAAAAGAAAGTTGATATAGTGGTAGTAGGGATTCATAATATTAATAGGGTAAAGACAAACAAATGTAAATTAGATAGCTTATTAGATTTTGCAAAAGAAAAAAGGTTAGACATTGTGGAGTTATGCGAAACTAACATATTTAAGAAAGAAGGAAT